TTGAGCCACAGGCGCCGAGCCGATTTGAACTTCTTATAAAGGAATGATAGGGGCTGGGAGACACCCCTGCAGAGCGAGGAGTGGAGTATGTGTTAATCATTGGTAGTAAGATTTTAACATTCAGGAACAAGGGCACAGGTCTTTTAAAAGGAAAACCTGGCTGGGCACCTTGGGAGGGTGCTGGGCAAACCGTTACTTTGGTGCTGGAGACTAACACTGGAGCCCCGCTGTGTGGACCTTACCGCTGGTGGCCGTGAGGGCAGGTCTCCGTACAGAAGCGAGGAGCGGTGAGATGCACCGTTTGGCTGCAGCCCTAGCGATCTAACACACTGAAGTTGTGATGGTTAAGGGAGGCAGATGGGCCCGGGGGTGGGGAATGGGGGGTATCATGCCCCCTGCAGACAGTGTCCCCAAAGGAGAAAGATGTGTCTAGATCTGAATACCAGCTGACAGAACGCCCAGGCCAGGGCTGTGCCCCCTGATCCTGAACAGGCAGTGCAGGGCTGAGGAACTCAGTGTCTAGTGTGTGTGGGGTGGCGTGGGGGAGCTGGCAGTGAGTGCCTCACTGTGATCCGATTCAAATAAACTTTAGATGAAAATGAGACAGTTAGCAAAATCTCAGGCCTGACTAGCTCTATGAGGACAGTGAGTGTGTGGTTTGCTGGGATAATGGCGGTGCAGCTGTGTGGGAGAAAGAGACTTCTCTCTTAGAGACCAGTGCTCCATTTCAGGAGGAAACAAGCACGGTCTGAGATTTGCTTCAGATAATTCTGGAAGTGGTGGGGGATTCAAGCCGTGAGCTGATGGTTGTTGATAAGTGAGATGAGGGACATGTGGGGATGGTTCTATTTTTATCTCTACTTGATTTATATGTTGGAATTTTTTCATAATAGAAACTTAAAGATAGCAAAGAAATTAAAAACTGCACCTTTTTGTCTCCTGAGAGTGGCCCACAAGTTCCAGGCTTGTGAGCAGTGTCTCAGGATAGCAGTAGGGGCCCGGGCAGGCGCTGGGAGGGCCTGCTGTCACTGGAGTGAGACGTGGCATGTTCTAGCTGAGCAGCTGGGACCACGTCTGATTAACCTGTGAGTGCTGGCATGGTGTCTCTGACAAAAGGCCAGAGGCCGCTGTCTGCTGTCAGCACCTCCATCCATCAGGGTGCTGTTTAATTAAGAGTCTGCAGCCTCCCATGTTGCTGAGTGATCTGAGGGCTCAGCAGAACATGGCGCAGCGGCAGCGTCCTGGTGCTGGGGGCCTCTTTCCTCTGCCCCGGCTCTGTCTCTCGTGAAGGGGCCTAACAGATGACAGGATGTGGCGTGTGGGCTTATTTCTGACTTGGCTGCGGTCTCCTAGGGTGGTGTCGCTTGGTCTTGTGCCCACTACACTGAAAGTCATACTCTTCCTTTTCAGACTGGGCCATGGCCATCCGCGTCGCTGCTTTGGACTGTGCAGAAGAGAAGAATCAGGACGTGTGCCGCACCTATGACATCCACTTCTACCCTACCTTCAGGGTGAGCCAGCTATAGATGGTGCCTGGCCCTCACCTGGGTTCCTTCCAAGTTGAGACTTACCACATTTATTCTATTTTTTTAAGTGTCCAATGTACACAGCCCTATTATACTCACCACATTTATAATGTAGCTTTGTAGCATCTCTTGCTGGCCCTGAAACTTAGTTTTTGTCACGCCCTCCTGGGTTGTAGAAGTCTGCAGTGGAATGGTCCATCCATACACATGGCCCCTGGTTGTGCACACTGCGGTGAACCGTGAAAAGGCCTAGCTGCAGGTGTGAGGTGGTGGCTATGTGAGGACTGGCCTTCTGGCCTGAGGCCCATCTGCCCAGTGCCTCCCCCACAGGAGTGGTCCTTATAATTCTGAGTCTCTCTCCAGAAGACCCTGCACACGTACGCATATGCACACATGTGCAGTCCCTGAGGGTAGAGCAGGTGCTTTGTACACCCAGTGGCCCTAGGACAGTGTCCGTCCTACAAGTGTATGCCTGTTTCTTCCACTAGGGGGCAGAGGAAACATGGCCCTGGTGCTGGCTGTGAGCTCAGCGTGTGCACGTGTGTACATGTGTGCTGTATGCCTGTGTGTCGTGGGTGTGAGCAGCCACGTGCCTGCACGGAATGTGCCACAGTGACACTGGGATCTCCAGTTGTGTGTGGCACCTTGGGAGGTCACTCCTAAGGAAGCATCGTGATCCCTAAACCTTTTCAGCCCGGCTATCTGCTTGGTGTAGTTTCCTGACAAGGTGTCTGTTTCCCCTGTGACTGGGTTAGCTGTGGTGACAGGCACCGGGCTGGGGGTGTGGTGCCCATTGAGGGCCTGTCTGGGCCTCATGCGTCAGCTCTTCAGCTCACTTTAGCATTTGAGCCCCTCAGGATGGACTCCAGTCTCAACTTTGTTTCCTCTTCACACATGGGTTGTATTGTGCTGATGCCCAGACTTACCTTGGGCTTGAGTGTTGGCAAGGCTCACTGAACCTGTGGCCCGTGTCACTCTAGGGAGCCGTGCCCCAGCTGTTGGTGTCCTGCAGGCTCCTCCAGGCTGCTGTGCTCTGGGCAGTGCTGCTATGTTGCCAGCCCTGGAAGAGCTCCAGCTAGGCTGGAGAGCCAGACGTAGGCCCAGCAGCCCAGGGCCACCCCCAATCCCACAGCAGAGCCGTCAGGTGGTTTTCTGTTTTCCGTGGAAGGGGTGGCAGGAAATACATGGTGGTTTCATTTCCCTGTGACCTCTGGCAGTCAGCACACCTGTGTCTCTGGCCATGGCATCCCTGCCTGCAAAGTGTCTGTGCCTGTCATTTGCCTATTTTCTTTTCTTTTATTTGATACAGAGTCTCTTTCTGTCACCAGAGCTAGAGTGCCACAGCCTCAAACTATTGGGCTCAAGCGATCCTCCTGCCTCAGCATCCTGAGTAACTGGGACTATAGGTGCCACCACAACGCCTGGTTAATTTTTCTATTTTTAGTAGAGACAGGGTCTTGCTCTTTCTCAGGCTGGTCTCTGACTCCTGAGCTCAGATGATCCACCCACCTCACCCTTTCAGAGTGCTGGGATTACAGGCTGGAGCCACTGCACCTGGCCAGGCTTTGCCCATTTTTCATGTGGGTCATTTGTACTTTTCTTATTGATTTACAGAAGTCCTTTGTGTATTCTCCATACTAAACTTTTTTTCATTTGTGAACATCTTCACCCAGTCAGTAACTCTCTTTTCACTGTCATTAATGTACATGTCTTGATGAAGAAAGTTTTTAACTTCATGTAAGAATCCTTTTTGCTTGGCATGGTGGCTCATGCCTGTAATCCTAGCACTTGGGCCGAGGTGGGTGGATTGCCTGAGTCAGGTTCAAGATCAGCCTGAGTCAGAATGAGACCCCCATCTCTTAAAAAAATAGCCAGGTGTTGTGCTGGGTGCCTGTAGTCCCAGCTACTTGAGAGGCTGTTAGCTAAGATGTCACAGCACTCTCCCGAGGGTGACAAAGTGAGACTCTGTCTCAAAAACAAAAAGGAACCCTTTTCATTTGCTCACAGGTGTCCTGTTGTGTCCCTTATGCCCTGTGTAAATCTTATATTGTCACAGCTAACCATTAAGGACACACACTTGATACCTGCCGAGAGTCCAGGGAGGTGTCATCCTGTGTGACTTCAGCTCTGTTGATTGTCTTGCCGCTCTGCCTGTTGGGTCAGAAATGTAGACACCAGAACTTTGGGTGGCAGTAACTTTAGCCCACTCACAAGGCCAATAGGGAGACTGATGTCCACAGGGACACGCAGAAGCGTGCGTTTTGTCATCGCTCCTGGGCTTTCCATGTCTCTTTAGGATGATGATCATTTCATTCCCTAAATGTTAAATGTATGCACAGACACCACGCAAGTCTTCTTACTTGTTCTGTGTTTTTCCTTAGTATTTTAAAGCATTTACAAAGGAGTTTACAACTGGAGAGAATTTTAAAGGTAAGGACATGACTTTATATTGCGTCTCTTGGATTTACCTCATAAACCCATTAAAATGAAAACGGGTTCAGGGCACCTGAAAACTCTGGGAGATACTCACCCTGGCTGTGTCAGCACGTTTGCATAACTGCTGTCCTTCCTGCTGCCTGTGGCCTTTAAGAGTTCAAACATTAGGCTTGGCACCCGTTGTTCAGTGGTTAGCGTGCTAGCATGCACCGGGGTTGGTGGGTTTAAACCCGGCCTAGGCCTGCTAAACAATAACAACCACAAAAAAAAAAAAAAAAAAAAA